AGACTGGGGCGTTCACGGGACCCGGGACTCCTCTAGCACGGAGATACATCCGAAGCATCTTCAGGATCTCAGCAACGGAATCGAAGTTCCGCCACTCCCATTGAAAGGGATCACTCTCCAAAGCCCGTATCTTCCTCTCCACCCGAGCAATGCGAGCCTCGAGTGTTTGTCTTTTGAGGCCCAGCCGCTGCCTCTCTTCACATAAGCGACGGTGCTTGTCGGCGACCTAGCATAAAGATGAGTGAATAAAATAAAGCAAAAAGTTTTTGAGTCAAAAACTTTAAATATTTACCTTGTCGATGAAGTCGCAAGCCTCTTTCTTCTCCTTTGAAGGGAAGTGAAAGACGGCGTGAGGAAAGAGAACGCCGGCCGGTTCAAATCCGTCGCCGGACAAGAAAAGTGGGCTGCCGGGATCGATGGGGGCTACTCCTTCGTTTTCCATTCTTAAAGTATTTCTCAAGTAAGATTCTAAAGTCATGCTTAAATAAAGCTTAGAAGTATGTAAGCCTTTATTTATAATGATTTAGGGTTTGTCTTGGAACCATAAACCCAATAATGGTAGTGTGTCCGAGTGGTTTAAACCATTTTTGGAAATCGAGAAAAAAAGCACTTTTTGCATTAAAGACGAGCCGTTTTCCTTACTTATAAGAAGGGAAAGCGCAACCGTCGCATTAACTACAAAAGTTTCTAAGACCCAAGCCCAGTAAGTTTATCGAGTTGACTAAACCCGAAGTGGGGAACTCGCTTTAAGCCGAGCTCAGTTCTCGCATACTAAAGAGAAAGGTCTGATCAGCCTAAAAATCTCGAAAGCATTGCCACAAGGCCACAAAAGGTTAAAAAGCGGACTTTGCAAACCCGCATATAATTTTAACCAAACCCCCTTGGGTCACAACCTAGAAAGGTTTAAAAGCCTCCTCAGGCAAATATCTTGTTCAAAAAACAACAATAAAGCCTCCTTAGGCCAAAAATAAATTAAGTCTTAAAGTTAAAGGGACAATCCCCGATTTAAAGTGGACACAGCCACTACGGAGTGATCTCCACCCCGGACTCCGGCTCAGTAACCGAAGTTTCATTCACCTCCTTGACTGGTGCTCGATCAGATGAAGCTCCCTGACCACCCTCCGCGGTACAACCAACCTCTGGTACCATAGGAGCTGCGGGCGGGACAACGTCTTCCGTCTCACTTGAACCTAGAAATAATGATTCCAGTCAATCAAAGGTACAAGGTAAGAAAAAAGTAAGCCACAGGAGCCAAGCGTTACCTGCCCAGTCTAACCCCGATTCACTGATAGGAGGTGATTCAGTAAAGAATGCCTCGAAGTCAAGCGGGTTGAAGGCCGAAGTGGGAAGAGCTGCTAAGCGACTCCGTTTTTCAGAAAGGTTAGTCGACAGCTCGGTCCTTTCTTGCTCCTCGGAAAAATCTGCTTCATAGATTTGGTCCAGCAGAATCAAGTTGCTTTCGTGCTCCTTGATGTCTGACTCCAAGTCCGACCTAGCTTTCTCGGTTTGCATGAAGCAAATGGCCCCTTGGATCAATTCCATCCCGCGTCCCTTAACCTCCTTTCTGGCCTTCGATGCCGACCTTGCCAACTCAGAATCACGCAACTTGGCTAGCGCCTTGTACTTCGCGTCAAGCTCGATAAGTTGGTTGTTCAGGGTGTCAGCGGTTGATTCGGATTCATGAAGTCTACCCTGAACACCAGACAGTTCGTCCTGGAGTTTGTAATTCCGGTCATAGTAGTCTTGCAGTTCCCCCTTTACCTGCGCCAACTCCGACGTCAACCTATCGACCTTATCCTCCAGATCGTGCTTAGAGCCAGCAGAAGAGTTGAGGTCAGCCTCAAGAGCTGAGAATTTCTTCTTCCACATGTCAATCTCCTTCTCCCGTCCAATGACCAACCCTTCGTAATGTTCGATCATGTCGTTAAATTCGCTATGAGCCTGGCATTATACATGAACCAGGGATGGTGAGTCGGTTCGCAGAATGGCAATGTAAAAAAAAAAAAAAACGGAACTAACCCGAGATGAGTGATGCGCGTGAAGCAAATAGCGTTCACGAATCGCAGGGCGCCATTTGTCGAAGTCTGGCAGGATCGAGCCCGATCGGGTCTTGAAGCATCGGAAGACGCTGCCCTCTTTCTTCATAGCTGCGAAGAAGGAAGAGTTGTAAAAATTAGAATTTTAGTAAAGACAAAAAGTTGAAGTATGTAAATCACCAAACCTGAAAGCGATTTGACTTGAGGGACAAGAGCAGGTTTTAACCTCGAGGAAGCATCTCGAGATTCAGAATCTCCCTTTTTCGGAGACGCACTCCGGGTAGTCTTTCCACTATCAGGCTGGGAGGAGGAAGACATATCAACCGGACGTGGAGGACCCATTGGTTCAGGAGGAGGAGATGATCGAGGTGAGCGGTCAGTCCGGGCCCTCGACTTTTCCCTCCGCGGAGAAGAATCGCTGCGAGAGGACTTGTCTCTCTTCCGGCGAACCAAGTTCTTTATTGGTTCGTTACTAAAATCATCTCGGAGAGGACGAGGTGAATCACGGCGAGGAGATTGAACCCTCCGAGGAGAACGTGAGTCGCGACGATCGCGACGAGGAGTTAATCTGAAGGAAGCAACAGATCGAGCTCCCTCGGTGCTGCCATCATCAACCAGCAAGGTTCTACTATAGTCCTTCTTGTCTATAGAAGTCGCGAGGAACTTTTTCTTCTCCTCGCAAGCCTCAGCCATCGGCTTGGAAAGCAACTTACGCTTGGCCGCAAGGGCCCGAGATGACATTCCCTGAGTTGTAGGAGGGGGAGGAATTTGATGAAGATGGCCAGGCGGACTCATCCTGAGTCTGTGGTTAGCTTCTAGGAATCGCTCAAGAGTGAAGGAATTCCAAAGGGTTTCCCCTTCAAGAATTATTTTGAAGAATTCGATGAACTCTTCAGATGGGAGATTGGAAGCGATGAAAGCTGCGAAATGAAACAACGGTGTTAGTCAATAAAGATAAAGAAACAACCGAGAAAGATACGGGCAACCTAATCACTACCGGGTTTCGCAGACCACTTCGAAGGGAGAAAATCTGCGAGATTTCCAATCGAAGCGGGAGTTTTCTTAATTAAGAACCAAGGATGATGCCAATTTTCATCCTTGTTCGGAAGATGTGAAATGATGTTCCTGTTGGCATTAGGATATGCTGAGAAATATCCCGTTTTCTTCGATGAACTTCTCACGCTCAGAAGCTCATTTAGTTCAGCAACTCCGATAACATAACCGGCCTCCGCCGCGATTGTTATAATTCTAAGAATAGTACGGAGAAGATTGGGGGTTAATTGAGGAAGAGCGATTTCAAGAGCCGCTAGGTATAGAACTAGGGCTTCGGGAAGAGGAAAGGTCAGCCCGCAACCCTTGAAATAAATCTCGTACACACAGAAGTAACCATCGCGATGGTTCTCTGGGGATTCTGTGGGGGAAGCTATTTGTGCTTCCGCCATAATTTCCGGCGGAATCCGGCAAAGCTCTTTCAACCGCTCGAGGGATTGAAGAGTACAAGTGGACCCATAATGCGGACCGGCAATATCATCAGAGCGGGTGCACTCGTCATTGCTAGAACGCCTCTCATCGAAAGACGGAGACTCGGGTCTATCGGAATCGGAAGCCATTGAGAAGAAATAAAAATTCAAGATCCGGCGAAGAAGGGTTTTGGTGAAAGAACGAAGAGAGAGGTTTTTGATTAAAGTACAAAAGTAAAAAGAAGAGAGTAATGGTGAAAAGAAGTTACCTCAAGCTAATGATGAAACCGCCTCGGAAGTCGTGTGGGAAGTGGAAAGGTTTATCCCGTTTTAATAGTAATTAATCAATATACGGTCATAATGATGACAGATGTCACTCGGTTAAAAATGGCTAGTGCCGAAATTAAAGGAGTGATGAGATTTTCGGCGGGAAATCAGAAAGATTCTCGAGCGCAATCTTTGGCCACTTGAGCATTTAAAGTCCTCCGAATTGGAATAGCACTTCGAAGAACTTGGGGGGCTAATTGTTGGTGTCGGATCCCGCACCAGAAGTACGAGACCAACCAAAGATTGCCACGTAATCAAGATAATGGCCCATAAAGGACGAAGCCCATCGGACCCATGAGCCAAAGGAACGGTCGAAGTGGTTGTCACCACTTCGAGAGTTCGAAGTGACTGCACTGTGACACGAGTTCGGTGTAGAAGACATGGGTAAGTCGGTTCAAGGGCACTTGGGCCAAAAGAGGCGAGGCCCATGAAGATCAGAGTCAACTCAAATTCAAACGTTGAGCATTAAAGCCGAAGAATCAAAACGGACACATTTAAGAAGAAATAATTGTACTTAATTGCTCATTTTAATGTCGTTTATTTATGTATAAATATAGAGGCCAATGGCCATGTAAAAGAGAGCTTCCTCAAAAGAGAGAAATACTATAGCAATTTTCGTATCAATTTATAAGTTTTTACATATTCATTTTTGTCCCTCAAGAATAATCTTTCCCGCTTAACAAAATACTTGAGTGTGTGAATCCGACATCCACAATATTTTGTCAAATTTTTACCGGAACTTATATAGATTCATCATACAGAAATTAAAGTACGGATTGTCTCTATATATCCTTAACCGATTCTTCTTTGTTCAAAAAGAATTGAAAAGATAGGTTCGAATTATTTATGGTCTTATAAAATAAATATATTTTAATCGGATATTATGACAAAGAAGACAAATATATACATAAATCTACAAATTTTGTTGGATATCTACAACATATTGATGATGAACATAAGAGAAAAATCAAAAACTGAGCGAGTGAGGCTAAAATCGGAAAAATAGTGGGCTAATGATACCATTGTTTTGGGTCCCGACAAGAATTTACCAAAAACTAATTATGTCCCAGATCTTTACCTCCCACCTAATTATCTCTAAACAAATCTTTATAATCATATATAAAGGATAAAAATATGTCCAAACTAAAACAAAATTGAGAGTATAATAAGACTATACCAAGAGTGCTATCAGAACAATGAACCGATGATTTGACAAAAAGAATAGTGAGAAGAAATACGATAAGCATCTTTTTGGTGATATCCATTTTATGATATAATTTTTTGATAACTTTGTAGAAGATTTTTTTTCTGGTTATTACTTAGAGTCACTGGCCGATATATATACACTTACGATTAGCCAATTAGGATTTGATCTTTCCGTAGAAAGTCGAAACTAATAAAGACACAAGATTCACTAACAAATATGTAAAGAAGAGAAACACAAATACTCTCGAGTCTTAACTATAGAAAACTTATGTAGAAAAAAGTACGTTTTGTTGTTATACATGTAACAAAAAATCTTTCAATTAATTTCCTTATATTTATATTTTATAGTAAATGTATTGGTTTTGTTGCCTTATTAATTTTGAACATTGGTGAGATCATATTTATTATTTTATACATAGTAAAATATGAAATCCTTTTCCCATAATTATTAGTTACAATTTTGAAATAAATTTTGCAGATTCCAATTGTTGTAATTTCCAATTATTTATTTTTATTAGATAAAAAGCATATTAAATATATTAATATATGTAAGGTTTTATAATTTAGTTTCTTGGGTAAAATAGTATAGGAAACCTCCAACTTTGTTCATTTTTCAATTAAAACCTCTAATTTTTTTAGTCTCCAACTCGAACTTCCAACTAAAATACTTTTTTTTTAAGGGAAAATACCATAAAACCTCCAGCTTGTTATTGTTTTTCAACACAAATCTTCAATTTTTCGAGTTTCTTAACAAGTTGGAGGTTTTATAAAAACAAAAAAAAAAAACGTTTCAAATCGTTCCTCTTTTTCTCATTTCTGCAGCTTTCCAGATTTGGTATTGAACACATTGCGTAGCTAGGACCTTCAAATCATGTTTGAGCCTATGAATTTGTGCGAGAGCTACTTTTAACTAGCAATCAATATTATCTCCATTTAAAACCGTTAATAACAGTATAATTATCAGGATTAAAAAATATCTATTTTTTTTAGATAATATCAATCTTTCTAAAAGCAAACTTTGGCAAAATGATACTTCTAAGCCGTCGCTTTGGGCACAAGGGATTAAAAACTACCTAATCCGAAAGCAATCTTTTTGGTCAATTCGAGAAACTTACTACCATGGGCTCATAGATGTAGGGTAAAATCTTGAAGTACCGACCATTGGCATAAAAAGTTTTGTAAGGTGGACATTCGTATTGATGAGGACACATCCTTCTGGTTTGACATCTGGTCTTATTTAGGCTGCCTCATGTGGAGAAACTCTGGACCACGAGGTCTAGTTGACATGGGCATTCCTACACATGCCTCAATCGCTTCTGCCTGGAAGAATCAAGGAAGAAGACAACATAGAAATGGAACTTTGCCTCTGATCGAGAAGTTGATAGAGAAACTGAGAGTGAATTCAATGGCTGTAGATGACATAAATCTTTTGCGTTTCAAAGAAAACCGATTTAAGCAAGAGTTCAAATCAAAGAACACTTGGTTGCTCACAAGAGAAGCAGCACCTTAAGTTGATAGGCACAAAGGGACTTGGTTCACACACTCTACTCCAAATTACTATCTGCTTGCATGGTTAACGATACATAATCGACTAACACAGCTTACATTTTCTGTGGGGATCAAATGGAGTCAATAAACCATATGTTATTTTTTTCATGTCGCTATACGTCTGAGGTATGGGGGAAATTAGCAAAAGAGCTACTGAAAATTCATTTCACTACTAGATGGAATAGCTTAATCTTACAAAGAGGTTTATTATCAACTTTGAGGAACCATATATTTATATATTTGTTTCTCAAAGGCAAAGAATTGCAATGAAACCTGAAACGTCCACATCGAAATGGTTTGGATAGAAACAAAATAAATGGTTTGGATAAAGTTTTGGGAATGCTAAGGTTTTAGATGACTGTTCCTCTCTTGAAGAGTCTTTTCTTTGACAACCGTAGAAAATAATCTACATGATCTGCAAGAGGAAAAGGACGACACTCCAAGACTCCTACATTCCATTTTTATTTTATCTTCTTCTTTCTTTTTTTTTTTTCGGAAGTTAAGAATGAAAAACATTTAAAAAAAATAAAAATAAAAAACATATTCCCATATCAAAATTGCCCTTTTTCGACCCAATTACTGCCCAACATGCGAGCGGAGATCATCTATATACTGAAATATTCGAGATGTCAAACGTGTTAATGTGAAAGCGGTTTTAAAGAAAACATTGTCCGACATAGTGTGAGTATGACATGGCGTGAGAGTAATTCATTTTGTTTTGTCGATAATATACAACTTAGTTATCGAAAAAAAGAAGTTGTAACTTAGTTTGTACAATTGTACTATATTCAGTAAAAAACAGTTTGTATAATTTTACTATATTGATTACTAATGACATTAATCTCTACAATAATTATTTGAGAAGTAGAAACGCACCATATTGAAAGTTAGGGCATTGGAGGCATGTGGTTAAAAGTTAGAATGATTTGTCCTAAACACCCTTAATGAATTGTTCTTCTCGAAATTTCTCCTTCTTCGTAATTAGGGGTATATAAGTCTAATCGTGTGTTGATCTCTATAATAATGTCCTAAACACCCTCAATTTCGAAATTTTTTGTTCTTAATTGCTAGGGGTATATAAGGCTAATCGTGTTTTGAGATGATTAGTCTTAATCACCCTTAATTTTTTTTTTTATATAGTGTAATCGTTGGGGATACGAATGTCATAATGTCTCGACTTTAAGGATTATGGAATCTTAGCTTTAATTTATTTGTTTATTTTTTGGATAAATTCTATATCTTAGTAGTTAATATTCGTTTTTGTTAGTTTTCTGATTTAGTTTCTAATTAAAAAGTTAAATTTCTTAAGATAATGATTGATGTTTGCCCTAATCTTAAAGCTATATATATTGTTGATCGGTGAGAATTAGGTATTATTTTTTTTGTGCCCATTAGATAGTTTTCACCGTTATGATTTTTTTTATACAGCTACGATTCTGATGAATCAAATTGTTAGTCATGCAAATACTGTTTTCATTTACCTTTAGACGTCGTGTGCATATTGTTTGTTTTTGGTTTTATTTTTTGCATTAATTCGTTGATTTATTGTTTTGCTGATTTGATTCTTTTGATATGTGTTTCAGTTTTGTAGAACGTGGGAGGTTCCATCGACAAAGCTTTCGGACGAAGATGGTTTTGACGAGAACAGAACGGGGTTTGGAAAGGTATTTCTATAGATTTGGTTTGTATATTTTACATATATTTACCTATTTTAATGTTTGTGTTTCTTTGTGTTATATTATATATTTTTATATGCGATTTTATTGCGTATTTGTTGTCCCTGCATTCATAATTTTTTTCAGCATATATTTTGGATTTTTATTATGTTTTTTTAACCTCTCAGGTTACAATGAGATGTGGGCATACGATCATCAAAGCGTGTTTGTTTCATCGTACAAAAAGTCAGTCTCTAATCTAAACTATATTTTGTATTTATCATGAATTTAAATGCTTTTCTTTTTGATTGCTAGAAACCCTAACGTATATTTACTTTCTAAAACACAGAAATCTGTTTTGAAGCTCACGAAAAAACAGAGGTTGCTCGCTCTAATGTCATTATCGTGCAAGTTATCGTCTCCGGTGGCTCTCTAAATCGAGATCGATGTCGAGATTGCAAAGGTATGTCTATCGTGATAAAATTGTAAAATAGAGAGTTTCTTGTGACTGTTCGTGCTGATTCTCTTAGTATTGAGTTTTCGAAAGCTTGCCATGGATGGAAGATGAGCTTTCGGGAGTGTGTTGAAGTATAGGTACAATTCGTTTTTGATTGCATGGACTGCTTTTGAATTTGAGTAAAATTTCGTGAGTTTTAGAGGTCATATATCAATATTGCAGTCTTCTCCTTACTTGAATTGTAGTTTATATGTGAAAATTACACATCGAATAGTTTTATGATACAAATTTTCTTTTTCTCATTGGTCTATAAGTAGTGTGTCTTTTGTAAGATTTGAAAAGAAGAGTATTTTTGTGATGCTTTAAGTGGCACAATCTCAGTGGAGACGTTTTATAATATTTAAGTGTTGTGGTGTTTGCAGAAGAAAAGCTTCAAACTTGCAAGTGATGGCTTCAGGAAAGACACCTGGACTGACTCAGGAAGCTAATGGGGTTGCAATTAATAGACAAAATGACAATGATGTATTTGACGACATGAAACAGCGGTTCCTCGCCTTCAAGAAGCATAAGTACTTTTGCTTTTGCTTTTTCAATGGTTTATAAATTACTTCAAGAAGCGTAAGTAGCAGAACCAATTTCTTCAGTCTTTTGCTTTTTCAATGGTTTATAAATTACTTTTTGCCTTTTTGTTTCTCCCCACCTTATGATATACTCTTGAGCAGGGATAACTTAGAACACTAAGAAAATTTGGCAGATGCTCAAGCTCCGAAGGTACCTTTACAATTTACAAATGCTTATTATTGTTCACGGAAGGCTTGAGATATCTTCTGTGGTTTAAATTTTGTCTGGAGAAAGGAATTGTTGCTAACAGTGTAAGCAACAGTTTCTGGTGATCGCTTGTGCAGACTCTAGGGTTTGTCCTTCTACTGTCCTGGGATTCCAACCGGGTGATGCATTCACTGTTCGCAACATTGCAAATTTAGTACCTTCATATGAGGTATAACATTTAGTGCATACTACCATTTTGGTTTTATGGCATGGTTCACATTTTGACATTTTTGAATTTGCCTGTTGCGTGAAGTCGGGACCTACTGAAACCAAAGCTGCTCTAGAGTTCTCTGTGAATACTCTTAATGTAAGCATTTGTTTTTTTTTTAATTTTGTTGTTACTTGCAGCGTGAAAGAAAGAATCCTCATGACCTAAATGGTGTCTATATATTTAATTTTCAAGAAAGAAAGTGTATTGACCGTCCAATAGAAAGAAATTCAATATCATAGAAGGTATGCAGATATATAAAATACGTTTAGCTCGATATTTGAGGCTTATACATTGGCATGATCAAAATAGAAATTTGGTTTCAATAGTTTATTTTTGTTTTTAATTTAAAATTTATTGTATATATCTCTCATGAATGTGGCCAAACAAATATTGGTTTCAATAGTTAACTGTGCTTTTTCTTTCTAGCCAGATTAAGATAAATGCTTCGACTCTTGGTAAGAGTTATATCGTGTTTATGTTTTACAATATGCTTAAAAAGAAATTCCATATACAATGTTAGGCCATATTGATTCAGTTTCGGTTCATTATGCAGGAAGTATGCAAACACTTGATGTTGGATGCAGAACTACGTTTTATGTTTTCTACACATATATGGCAGAATATATTGGGTTCAAGTTTTCAAACATAGAACCGAGAAATCAGAAAAGCAAAACTTTTATATTTTTAAGCCGAATTTCATATTCATCGTCCTCTACTACATGAGCAGTGTTGGTAATGTTTAGATTTCATGTTGTACTTATGAATTGGTGCAGGATTTGGATGAACTGAATAGTGGTAGAGAGATGGTTTACGAGAGAATCCAAACTCACTTAACTTGATCGAAGTCATATCAAGATACTGAATGTGGTGCTGTTGATGCTTCTAATGGCCCCATTAATACACATGTCTATGGTACGTACCAAACAATAAGCCATTTAATTCAAATAATATATATCCTTCATATATGAATATAAATTTAATGTTTTACATATAATGACAAGACTGTTCTATAAATTACAACAACGTAGGTGGAGGATGGGCAAAACTTGGATTATAATCATCACTACTCATTTGCGCCTTGCAACTTCTTGCATAGACCAAAGCCTATGTTTGGTCTGGAAGGTCGTCAAGAAGAAGAAGAATGTGGTGTCAATGCTTATCTGGAACATCGACGTAGGCTTCCTCTCTTCCCTATGCACGGTGAAGATCACCTCAACGGTGATAGCGGTGCTATCTGGAAGTATGGCCAATCGAACGATCGTGATTGTTTTAGTAGAGACTCTTGTGCTTCTCTTGAGCTACGTATGAACTAGACACCGTTATACACATACAAAGACTTATTTGGAGAAGACATCTTCGCTAATACGTGTACGAATATGAACTTTGGTTGGTATTCAAGTAAGGCATCTCTTTTTTTGGTATGGAGTAAAGCAACTCTTTTAGTTGTGTGCATTGTTTTACTTTTTTTTTAAGAGTTGTGCGATATTTTAATAAATAGTTTATTGTCCATTATAAAACGGAGTCCGTATAACTTTTTGTGATATTTAGTTTGTAAATAAATATGTTTATATATAATATATATAATGTTATTATTGATCATATTAATTATTAATGATAATGGAATCAATAGTTTATTGAGGAATTAAACCAACTTTTTGTTAATATATATATTTTAATCATGATGACTTCACCTTCCTTTATTATAAGTTTCACTTTTTTTGTGTTCTATAATTTTCTTTTGTGGAGATGATAAGAAACTCAGTGGCATATTATTTCTCGGATTATTGAACAGAGTTTTTAATGTTTAAATTATTTAATTATCAAATGTATGTTTCTATTGTTAATAAAAATTAAAAATATAAATTGTGTGTAATAGAAATTCAGATGGGTTAAATAATATTTTTCTCAACTTAGTTCTATAATATAGGAAATAAAAATAGCAAAATCATAAAATCATGTTTAAGTAGTAAAAAATTAAAACATTTTAAGCTATATTAATTTTTATAAGGATTGTGATAGTGCCAAATATAAATGTTAATATTTATTAAAAATTAGAACCATTTAAGGTTATTCTGAATTATTTACATTATAAAAATATCATTTAGAATTTAAAAGGAAAAAAAAATTGGAAATTATTATTATTTTTGGGTTATTGTTTCGGGAAAAGAAATGTTTTAGTGTTACATATATACATATTTAAGATTATTTATTTTTGAAAACGATAATAGTTTGTCATTTGTCTCTATCATAAAATTTGGAAATATCTAAAACTTTTTCAAATTTCTTTTAGAAAAAAAAAATATATGATAGGTTTATTATTTTTCAAAAAGAATAAAATATCTAGATAGTTACTGTATTATTATAAATTTATAATATCAAAACACAAAAAATCTATCACTTTGATTGGCATGTAAAAACTTTATAATATCTTTAATAAAAGATAAATATTCTTGACTATGAATTTTATTTTAAACATGATAAGATTGTTTAGTTTTAGTTTATATATGAATTTTTTCTTTTTAAATTTGTAAAAGTTGTAGATAAAGTCTAAAATATTCATTGAATATCTTTATTTGGAGAATTGCCAATTTTTGAGAAAAAAAACATAATTGTTACAGTTCAATCTATGTAATAAGTTATAAATATTTAGGTTCAACCAAACCATTCATATTTATTTCCTAAAGATCTGCTTCTTGATTCTTTGTACTTGACTTAAGCAATATCACACACCCATCTAATTGGTTAACGATTTGTACTATGTATCCTTTTACAATATAAGAATTTATATATAAAAGTCTGGTTGATATATCATGTTTTCATTGTAACTAAATAAATAGGAGCTTAAATTTGTAAGAAAATCCTTAGCTTATTCCCCTTTTGAGCCATATCAATTAAATATTACTTTTCCTTCATTTTTACATTCTTTAAATTACTAGGAATTGACACGCGGGGTGATTTTTTTTCTAAAATTTATAATTTTTAAAAATTCTAAATTATGTATTATATATAAAAATTTGCAAATTGTATTATTTGTAAGACATTTATAATTTATAGTTTATAATTATCATTAAGTAACAATATACTATGGAACATTTTTTGTTTTATACAATCTTAACTAAATTAGACTGATTCGATATGTCTAATATTACAGGTCTTTCAAAATAATAAAGTGAGGATTTAACCCATATTGAAGGAACGGGTTAATGATATTTTAAAATTTTATTAACTTTGATTCAAACCCGTCCCGCCAAATAACTCTGCCCCACCATATAATTTCGTCCCGTAATATAACCCATCATGTGTTAGTTTAAAATGTTGATATGTCCAAATGCTCATAATATCATAAAATAAATTTATAGATATTGAATATATAAATTATAATATATGGTAAGTGATTTTGAATTGAAAATCTTAATTTAAATAGAGTATAAATGATCATTATCGAGATATTAGGAAAGATTGTCTCCAGATTTTTGGCAAACAAATTTGATTTACATATATCTAATTAAAGAAATAAATCTTAAGAATTAATATCAGTGGCATTACATTGTAAATAAGTGTCAACTCCATGATTTATTTCAAAAATGTCTCCAAAAATGTGTATATAGATGATGTATATATATTTCGTTAATAGGAACTCTAAATTCTCTTATACGGATACACTTAGCATATCATTGAGTATATTTAATGTTATTGCCTAATTAAATTATCATAAGATATTCCAATATATTAGATAGATTAAAAGTGGCATTTTTGAGTTTTTATTTGGAAAACTTTCTTTCCTCATTTTAAACTAAAAAGGTATATAAGTTTAAAATATGGATCTACACATAAATACAAAGTACTGTATTTAAAGCAGCAAGTATATTTAGCGTTATCGTCTACTTAAATTACCATAAGCATAAATTATAATAAAGCATACCTTAATTTGGATCTATATCTTTGACAAAAAGTAAGTATATTTTCTCTAAATTTCCGTAGATAAAGGTAAACAATATGGTTAAGTGAGCTATATTTTATACTCTGATACGTACATTGTGAATATATGATCCCGCATAAGGGGAGATTTTTTTTGTACTCTATATTTATACTCCGATGCGTACTTTGTAAGACAAAGTTGAAGCGTCTTATGTTCTTGCAAAAAAAAATTAAGAGACTTTTCTTGTGCCACAATTGTTACCGTATTATTATAAATTTATAACACCAAAACTCAAAGTTCAATCACTTTTGGTTTTGACTGATCCTTACGTAAACTAACATTATTTTTAAAATAAAATAAAATAGAATCATGGATGTATTCAGTTATTGTCAAGGTTTGAATATTTCAATAAATAAATCATGGATGGTTATATCAATCTCTCTATAAATTTTTAAAATTAAAAATATATTTGTGTTATATGAACTAAAACTAGAAAAATAAATCTTGAAGGAGTAGTCAAAAAAAGTGAAAATCGAGATATTAATTAGAATATTAGATGGTAAGTTAGTGTGTAAATACTTTAAAATATCCTAAATATAAAATAAATATTCTTGATTTTGAAATTTATGGAACAAGATAAAATTGTTTAGGTTTAGATCTAGATAAAATCACTAACTCCTCGGTGAATATTTTTATTAGTTAATTTCCAAATATTTATTAAAAAGATAATTGTGACGTTTCACAAAGAAGTAAGCTAAAAATATTGTTCTCAACAACATAAT